AGTGACATTTTTGAAAATTTCCCTTTATAAAATCCGATAGAATTAGGATTAAAAGTGTTCCCAAACAAAGGCAATATTTTATTTCTGAAAATTCAGAAAATAATCAAATTTATTTTGACTGTACACTATAAACAATTTATTTCAGAATAGGGGACATTTTTACATAAAAGTAAAATAACAAGAGATCAATTGGCATGGCTTTCGAGAAGCCAAAAAGAGCTTTTGAAACCTAAAAGTTACTTTTGGGACCCATTTAGCTAATTATGAACTTTTGGAGGAAGATAATCTAATATAACTTCTTCTAAAAGCACATCTAAAATAAAATTTTCCTTTGGAAATTAGTTTCCAAATAAAAATTAAAATAACTTTCCAGGAAGTTCTTTTCCAAAAAGTAAAAGTCATGGTTGCCAATCTCTGGTTGCAAGAAACGAACCCTAATTTGAGCCATCTGGGTCGCCATGCCAAGAGACGGATCGATTTATCTCAATCCCCATTGGATTTAGCTCAGCAAGAGAGAAATAATCATCACAACCGCATAATTGATATCTTCTCATTAGATAAAACCTATAGCCATGGATTGTATGTCATTAGGTTGTATTTCAGGAATCGATGGTATGTGCAAAGTTTAGAATTTTATATTCTTAAGTTGGTTGGTGTGACTCATTTAAGAAGAAAGTTCTGAACGCTCAGCCCATTTAAGATAATGAAAGCCTAAGACACAAGTTATTTAAAATTTCAAAGATTTAAGACATTAATTTAAATAACTTTGAGTATAATGATTTAAACAATAACTGGGTTGCACAAAGGTAATCTAGGCTCTAATCACTGTTCACATGTTTTATAAAGTTTTTTACAAAAACGTTTTTTTTTTTTTTGAGTTAAAATCTCATAATTTTCACATTAAGGCATATTCAAGTTCATTGGAGAGAATAAATTTCTTGTTATGGATATTCATGGAGATATGTTACAAGTTAGATAAATCATTCATTTTCCTTCATTTTTCACCATGTAGAAGTTTTTATAAAAATTAGGGATAATTGCAGCAAAAGTCCCAAATCTTTAAAACACTGACAGACTTTCCTCAAACCTTTGATTTATTGCAACCATCACCCCTAACATTTTGAAATGTTGCAGGAGAGACCATTTTGAACGGTTTCCATCCAAGATACCGTCAGTTGACCCAAAAAATTGATTTTGATCACATTTTAATCAATTTTAAAAGGGCAAAATGGTAATTAGTTATTAATCACATTAAATAATTAAATAATAAACAAGAAAAGTTAACCCCACCCCAAACGAAACCCCAAACAAGAACCAGTTGTTCTCTTCTTTTAACCTCAGCCAAAGGCATAACATTATATATCGAAGCTCTCATGCCGCCAACCGACATGTGCCCCTTCAACTGCACCATCTTCTCCTTAGTTGTTTCCTTCACAAACTCAGTTTCAAACTCCAACTTTGCCAAAGTACATGGCACATTCATCAATGACCTCACACTCTTTTCCACCGGACAAAAGAACCATTTTGCTCCCATCAATGGTGTCATACAAAATATGTGCCTTCTTCACATTTTTCTTCTCCACCTCGTTCAATTCACCCACCTCGTTCAATTCACCCTGAGCAATGAGATTTTCAAACACCAACCCACACACATAAATACCGAAGCAAGGGGGACGGAGTGGATCTTGTAATCTAGCATTACAGGAGTATTTGTTTGCGCATTTCCAATCAAATCCGACCTTACTATCACAATTGTAACCCCAGATGGACCGGCATATTTCAGGGCTCCATCATAGATCACCCCAAATTTACCTATATCAGCTAGCTTGGAGCAAAAACTGGATGACCTTTTTTGGTTTATTGTTTAATTATTTCATGTTATTAATAGAAAATTACCATTTTGCCCTTTTAAAATTGATTAAAATGTGGTCATAATCAATTTTTTGGATCAACTGACGGTATTTTGGATGGAAATCCTCCAAAAGGGCCTCTTCCGCAACGTTTCAACAGGTTAAGGGTGACGACTGTAACAA